TAATATTTATTTTAATAAAATATCTTTAGCCTTGGTCATAATTGTCAATATTTAACAACAGTATAGGAATAAATTTTTTAAAAAGATTTTCTTCTATACTCGTGAGTTAGAAACTATTCATGATACCAAGAAATGTTTTAGATAAAAGTTGGACATCAAAAAATTTATATTAAAAATATTCACTGAAATAAATATAAACTGCATAACGTAAAAGAACGCTAAGTAGTAGTGATTAGAAATAGTATGAAAAAATATAATAGATCTACTAGAAGTAATAATTCCTTAAAGAAATATAAACCATATTTACAAAATAAATATCCTTTCATTGTTAAAATATATAATTTTAAGTTAGATAAGTACATATATTTTTATTAATTGTTAATGTCTCGAGCCAGAACAAAATACAATAACAATAAAACTGTATTAGAAATAATACAATAAAGTCATAATAAAAAATAATAATTAAAAATTGTGCATTTTAACATTATAATACATTTTTAGTACTGATGTAAGAGAAAAATCGGAAGGATTCATATCATTTCAATGATCAATCATCATGAACAATCATACTATTTCGTCAATTTTTTTAGAAGTAAGCTTGTACCTACATGTTTAACGAATTTTTATTCAATCATATAACATAACGTAAAAATACCTACACAATTGCTATTTCAATTAGAAACGATAAAGATCTACCATAAAACAAATTTAATTAGTTCTTTTAATACTATTTGAATTCACACATAAATGAAATAAATAACGATTAACTTCAACAATAAGTATTCGTACGAATGTACAGCCAAAGTTTGGATGCCAAAATATGTTATACAAATATTTTATAAAACTTTTATACCTGTCAGTCGGTAGATCTTGTCTACAAGTTTTTCCATCTTCTAATAAGGTAAAACCTTTACGACATTTGCAGTAATAAGATCCTGGTGTAGGAATACAAATGTCAGAGCACAATAATCCCTTCATAAGCTGACAGATGTCATCTAATGCTGTAAATTAATATTTATACATTATTACCTTTATTGCACTAAATAAATTGAAAAGTAATGTCAGACTTTCTAATTATAACTTTTGTTGCTTATTTCTTATTTATCTATGATTTCCTGTAATTATCTTTTGTCGAGCAAATATCTAGCTTGGAAATACCTTGTCAAGTCACACCTTAAAAAAAAAAATACTTTTATGAGAATCGTAAAACTTAATTCGAGCGTTTAGAAAGTGTTTGGTAGAACGACAGATGTTGCTCAAACGAATGAAGAAAGCTTAGACTAGTGTGAAGAAAGAGAGTTTGGAACAGGTGCTTGAGATTAAGACATAAACGAAGCTTGCACTCGAGATTCTTAGTGGATACGATTGTATGTCTTTCAGATATGTCTGCAAATGAAAAAAAATAGAAAAATTAGGAAAAAGGGAATATACATACTTATATAAGAATTCATGATTGTGGAAAAGTGTCTACGTATCAACTGAGGATTAGGCAAGTCTTTAATATTCCTGTATATTTTTTTAGAGATATCTGTAAAGGGTGGAAGAAATAGAAATATAGAGAAAAAGGGAAGAATGTGCTTATGCAAAGATTTATGATCGTGCAAATGTTCCTGTGTGTTAATTGAGGGTCAGACAGGGGTCTTGAGTGTGATTATAGAGTCATGAGAGAGTTGTGAGAAATTTATTCTAAAATTAAAGTTAAAGTGTATCGTTGTCATGGTTTTAAGTAAATGTATATTTATTAACATAAAAGTGTACTCTTCGCTTACCTTACCCGCTAATTTTATACTTTTCTATCTCAATTATCTCCGAAATGTTGCCTACTTGAAATTGATTAAATTACCTTTATACAATAATGCCTTCTAAGATAATTTTATATTCAGGAACTTCACGCAAACTTTTAATCACAACTTCCCTTATTAGCTTTATAAAAATAGGATAATTACGTTTTGCTTATTAACACACATTTATAAGGTGGATTGTTGTTCCTCTAGATTTCGCAGCTTTTGTGTATTTAAAAAAATTTTTTTTTCTTGGACTTTACTTCGGTCTCTTAAAAATATCAGTTCCAATCAGTTTTTCTTCATATATCATTCATAATTTCAGTCACTTCTACTGTTTTAGAAAAAAAAAATTGGTGTTTGTATCTGTATTAGCAATAGTACAAATTACTTTGCTCCAAAAATAGTCCCACGTATCTCATTGTTTAAGTGTTATCACTATTTGTGAAATTCTTTATTGTAAATAATAGCAGAAACAAATATAGATCTCTCCTAGTAATCCATATAAAGAATTTGCAAGGTAGTGTAATACAAATTTATTTCTTAAGCAAATAACTAATGAAGAATAATAAGATATTTTGCAATAGAAACATCTGACAGTATTTTCTAATCAGTTTAATGTTTTCATGATAGACCAACTAAACAGACATATGACCAATTACAAACAATTACATTTTATACTTTTAAAATTCATTCTTTGTCTCCTAAATTGCACATAAAAATATTAATGTTTAATAGCATTAATTTATTAATAAATATATCATAATAATTTATAATAAATAAAATTGATTAATATAAACATAATTACTTTAATACAAACTTGAATGTATTACTTACGAGGTGTAGGTATAGATGGAGAAAAGGATGTTGAATCTGACGATGACGTCGAACTTGAAGATGACGAGGATGAAGTTGATTCAGTATCAGTAGTCTCAGCTGACGTTGCATTTGTAAGATCTGTAGTCAAAGTTGTGGTTGTACTCGGTGACGCCTCGTAACAACATTCCAAAAACGCTGGATCCCAAGGATTGCCAAAGGTAAATTTCTTAAAAGCGCATCCTTGTCCCATAGACCCAGTCAAAATACCTTTAATGAAATATATAAATTATTGGAATAATTAATAATGCAAGAGAAGTTCTTTCACTATAAAAACTCAGAATGAAATCCTTAACAGAATGAATAATCCTGTGGGGACATTACATGAAATAATAATAAAATCAATAGTGAAACTTTTAACTAATAATAAAAACAAGAAGATAAATAATGAAAGCTTCGATCAGCAGTAAAAATAATAAAAGTAATAATAAAATCGTTATAAAGTATTTTATATAAAAAATCATAAGATAACGTGCAAAAAAATACTATATATCGTACAAGGAAAAGAAACTGTTTTTAATCCTAGTTACTAAAATATAAAAGTGTTGTTCAAAATTATAAAATTTTTCTCGAGCTCATATCTTTTTGTATGCAAAAACGGTAATAAGTATATAAACTGACCGCATATATAATTAATAACTGTTTCATGAATACAGTAATCCCATAACACGTATTTTACGAACACGATTTGAAATTTGTGAAAGCGCTTGTATAATATGTTGTTCTTAGAAAATAATTTTAAATAGAAATCAGTCTAAAAATTGATAAAATTCGTATTGTTATTATTATTATTACTATTATTATTTGTGGGTTACCATCCTTGTAGGTCCTCAGAATTTCTCTGGTTTATGCTCAATATAGACGGGTTGTACCAGGTTTATGCTGGCTTCCCTATTATAGAAATTTTCTTACTATTGATGGAATACTTAGTATGACTACTTTTTGTATGTTGAGTGTATGTATGCTGATAAATTTAGTAATTGCAGGTTCTGTATGAAGAATCTTTATAAAAGATTATTATTATTTTTTTTTAATTTTTATTTTTATTATTGTGAATTGAAATGTTATAAAAAAAGCAGTGTGACAAATTTTATAAATTATTAGAAACTTATGAAATGCAAGTCTTATCCGTTAAGTTTTCAAACGAAATTTACGATTTTGTATCTATGTATTGCAGTTTGATGCATATTAAATAATAATATTGTATATTAGAACTTAGTATAACATACTTTTGATACAGACTTTCGTGTTTCACGTCATATCTGAAAATTTCAATGTTAAATGAAATTATTAACGTCTTTATGAAAAGACTAAAGAGTGATTAATGAAAAAAAATGAATACATTAAACATAAAAGAAAGAAATTGTAGCTAAAAGATACTGTTTCTTTAAGTTTATTTTATGTTATTTGTTTACCTATAGAAAGAAACAGGAGAGAAACGATTAAACATAAAATATTATAGAGTAATATAAATTACCTAATTTACATGCTTCGCAACAATCACGGTGATAGTCACCCGGTCCAGAACGTCTACGTTTGGTATCGGAAACACACGCCAAACCAGCATGCGCATCTAACTTCCCTTTCTTGCACTGTTGTTCATGATACGCTCTCACGCAGCAGATGTCCACAGCTTCTAAGCAAAGACCTTGTTCGACTGTCGGCACTCCAGACACCGGCCCTGTGAACTTCTCACACCTGAGCCCTTCCATTGCCCACGAGGCTCCAAGTCCGCAACATTTTTCAAATTGTGCTTCCATTCTAGCTTCACTGAACAGCACTCCTGTGTAAGAAAATATAAACAAAGTATACCTAATGACAACTTTATTTGATAATTTTCATTATCTCATAAATAACTTTCTCTAATTTCTTTGGATTGCAAAGTGTAATTCGTCAATATCTACATTATCGATCGTTGTATAATTAGCGATCGATAACAACTTTTTGTACTATTCAATATTATTTTTATATAACGAACAGAGGGATCGAAACCTTTCATAAATTGTGCTTTAATTCTAAATTTGAGCAATGATTCTTAGTAGAGTAAGCATTATTATTTTTTATTTAACCTTTTTGTCATAAGTTTCGTAACCTTCCAAATTATTCTTTTTTTAGCAGCTAAATACTATAACCTATTCTTTCATGTTTCTTGGGTATGTAAAGCATATTTTGCCAGTATCTACGTTATCGATCGTTATGAAATTGGCGATTGGTAACAATTAAAGGAATAAATGCTTTGATATCTTAATATGTTTAAATTTCACTGCTTTAATAAAACAGATGATTAGAGTACCTTCGTTGTATTTTAATACAAATTAATTTTAGTATTCATAAAAATACTGTTTGCTTGTCTGTGATTTTATAAAACACCTGTTATTTCTGGAATAAAGCAAGACTTCCATGTAAACTAAGTTGTTCGTTTAATTTTCAATAACTCCCTCTCTTCTTTACCATTTTCAATTTATCATTAGATGGCGCGTCGATGTCAAAATTACTATGGGAAGAAATAGAACAAGGACATAAAAATAATTATTTTTGACGATAAACACATGTGACGCAAAGTTATCTCTTATTTGCATGTCATTTTCACAAACTCTCGACAGAATTTAAGTCCCTTATGAAATCCTTCCTGTCGCTGCAAGTGCTGCGATAAGAACAGCTGTAGATAAATGTTTCTAAACGATCTTTATTTCGTTTTCACTCGTATTTCGTTTCATGTGATTTAAGAATGTTTTTCTCGGTAGATTTATTTTTTTATGTAATAGTCATTAAACTATCACCAACTCGCAATAATTTAGAAGTAATTCAGTCATACAAGAGATTCCAAAAAATTCTAAATTTTAAATGATTGCATAGGATACAAAGAATGTGATGACACGAATATAATGTAATATAATGTATCAAAAGAATCTTCGATTCATACTATTTAATTCTATTGTATTTTTAAACGGCTTCAATCGCTTTAATCCCGTGAATTAAGCTTTTTCGGTCTAATATACGAAATTAACGAGTAACTGAACTACTAAGTTGGAGCTAATGCCATTAAAGGTTTTTCCCACGACATTCTATTTTCATTGTAAAATATAACTAATGAAAGGTGGTAATAATTTTATATTATGCATTCCTGTGCATAAAAAGGTTTTTCGATATTTTAAATTAATATTCGACAAATAAATGATATTTATTAATTATTTTATCAAATTATTATCAATCACGCCATTAATTGTTTATTAATTTATTATTAATTAGTTATTAAATAATAAATGATCTTTTACTCATATTTTCCCATATTTTGTTCAAGATGCATATATCAACATGCGATACACTGGTAAAGGTAATTCTATTACAATGTTTAAGTAGAACTCACTATAAATCAATGAAGACTATACATGTTAAGTAGTTAATGGGAAATCCGTAATTTGTTTAGTGATAAGAGTGAAACGAGCACATATATATACATATATATTTACATATACGTATGTTTCCTCGATATTTAATTGGAAAACTATAAAACTATATATTATTTAATACTTTTTTGGTATTTTGAATTCAATTTAAAATATATAATTTCCTATTTTCAAATCATTTGTCTTTTAAATTCATCCAAACATGTTAGAGGCTCTTATACTTATTCCAAATAGAATCATTTCAAAATAAATTAAATTTTTACCAATGAAAATGCCTTTTTATAATGATGTTCAATATAATAAAGTATAAAATATTTAAAAATACTACTATGAAGTCTCATAAATAAGTAAAATAGTTATATTGTAAAAGATAACAACAAGAACTCACTTTAAATATATATACTTTCATAAATAGATGAAAAAATAAATAGTAATTCCTTTTTTATAAATTTACATGAAAAATAAACATAAAAAATAACCAAATATATAGAATGTTGCATAATACAAATTATTTCATTTTATTACATTACCACGTTATATTCTTTATATCTATGTGTGTATATATAATTAAGTATATAGTTATAATGCCAAATATCACAACATTAAGTAAATAATATATATATATATTTTCATTAAAAAATGATAATTTAAAAACCAATTATGTTTAGTTATTAAAAGCATATTACTTTCCATATATGTTATAGATTCAGAGTGATATAAATAACTATATTAGTTATTCATTTTAACTAAATTAATTATTATTATTTATTTATTATTTATTTAACTATATTAGTTATTTATTTACCCTCAAACTCTGAACTACACACTACTCTAAAGTAATTACTTGTATATGATTTTTTGACTTTAGCCATGAGCAATTAAATACTATTTTCAACATTACCATAAACATTTTTTTACTGCTCGTCTTAAAAGTCTACAGAATATTACTTTACGCACATCAACATCAATTATCAATTCTAAGAAAACGGTTTCTCTAATGCGTACACAGTTTGTCATCTCCCTACGAATGAGGACGATATTCTTTCAATGATAAGAGTCACTCGATTATTTTTTATGGCTAACAATGTAATACAACCTCAGAAATCAAATGGGATTTTTAACATAAATGATACCTCGCTTCCGTGGGGAGAGTTGCTCCAACTGAATGGCCAGAAGTAGGAAGAAAATCGCACGTAGATCGATTAATCGTATCATCTTCTTTCTTAAAATTCCCGTGAAACAAACCGAGTTTCGCGTACAAGTATCACAATTTTTCCGTCACGATATTTAAGAAAATTTGTCTTTACTCTTGCCAATTTAAACGATATAAAAGCGTATAGATCGGAATCTCTCACTAAAGATCGTTCCTCTTGTTAGCCTGATGCGCTCCGACCAAGCGCTCAGCATGCATTAAACCGTTCAGTTTGCCGGTAGCATGGTTTTCTCCTCTGCACCTTTCTATGCGCATCTCATTTCTCGAATTCTCCTTCTCCATCTTATGGATCGTCCTTTTCCCCCATATACTCCATCTTGCTTTAGTATGCGCGCGCATAGGTATTAGAGCGATCTCATCGCCAGTGATGGCAGTGATCCGATTCTATCTAAAACTTCACCCCGACAAAATCCTTAGACTTTCCACATCTTGTTCATATTTTTACCTTTATTATCGTGTACGTAATTTTGCTTCTGGCAAATAATCTTGGTACTAAAATGTATCTAGTCATGCTTATAGTTTCATCACTTATTTATTTCATCGATAAACTTTACATCTGTACGTAAATCATATATCAAATAATACAGTGCAGATAGGCACTTTAACTGTTTTCATGAGAAACTGCGTTCGAAAAAATGATATACGTAGTTCATTTAAAATCATTTTAATATTGCTCTGCTGATATTGAAATTTATAGAAGTAGTATAAATAAGTAACAATCAGTTTACGTAGAAAACAGAAATTCTTTTGAAATTTCATTAACCTTAACTGAAAAATTAGTTTGTGTTTTAAACTCTTATGATCGATAACCGTAACAACGTTAATAACATATACGAGAACATTAGTCCCATCACTACTGCGTAATATGTCTCTTTTTCAAAAGAAAATCCCCCTTCGTGAGTTTCAAGAGCGTGTTGATCATAGCACTGGTGACTTCTTCCGCGGCATGTGTTCCCGGCTCGATGTCAGCACAAAGATCCTTTTTTTGCCTGTGACCCGTGGACAGTAGACGCTTTGTTGATCTTGCAAATTTCCGTACCACCCTCATGGCGACGATTCGTGTTGCCCTTCGTTCACGTCAGAACGCCTTTATGCGTATGTTCCTCTTCGTATCGATCGAGAATCGAAACCAGATATGCAAATCTTTACGAAATTGTGTTATCATTCATCTAAATAAAAAATATTTTCAAAAATTAAATTAAGTTTATTAATTAATTTATTATACCAAAAAAAAGATATATCCATTCTTTAACCAATCCCAAAAGAATAATAAATTAGTTCTTTTCTTAAGACAACCATTATAAGAATAACCAGATCAAACCTTAAAGTACTATTTACAAAATTGTTAGTCAATTATAAGAATATTTATTAACACTTTGCGGTTCGAAAATGTATTAATAGATATATTTTAATTCAAGCCATATAACGTTATGTAACGGAATAATATAATATGCAAATTTCGCGTAATAAATTTTAATAAACCCAAAAATATTATATGAAGTCATGGAAAAACATTACGTTATGTATTTCATTGGAAGTCAATTTCTCATAAAATGTTAAAGTATTTCATATGGAAAATGAGAGGTACACACATTACATAAATTTTCTCATTGAATAAATGTTAAAAGATAAAGAAAAATGAAAATAGTAGATACAATTTTAATTTCGATTATTATTTATCATAAGAAAATCTAAGGAAGTTAGAGACGTTAATGTAAAGGAGATTATCGCGGTTTTCCGTTAACGAATATCAGTTGATCTTGGTAGCAGAGGGAAGTAAAAAACGTGCAACAGGAGTAACAGTCAGTAGGCCGAGAACCGTCACCGGGCTAGCGAGGTTGCGATGACCGTGACACGCGTAACTCTGTAGCGATCGTGTAACATTCAGTGTTACAGTGTCTTGTGTTGTGAAAAAATCGAATATTTCGCCATCCACGTCGACCGTCTGCATGCTTACGCATCGTCTTCGAACCTGAAGTGCTTTTTTTGCGTCCCTTTCAATGGTAACATGTGGGTGATCTACTTACATATATCCTGAGAGGGAACCAAGAAGTCGAAATAAACAACGCGTAACGATGATATAATACGAGGAAGGTAAGGAATTCCTCACGATCAATCGTGACCACTGTTTTTGCTTATTTTACATAACTTTTTGTAGCTTTGGTTTTTCTTTCTCTGTATCTTTTTAAAGCAATGTAAAAGTATTTTACTGGAAGATAATAACCGAGAAAAGCGTACAACGGTAATTTCAAAATTTTAAAGCGCAATAATCAAAAATATTACGCGGGTAAGTAGTTTTAAAAGTAGTTTTTCAAAATGTTACTTTTACTTATTTTTAAAATAGTTAAATATGTGGATTTTAAATTAAAGAAAATTAAATATTAAAATATCCTTAATAACAGAGGTATCGTTACATTTATCATAAAAACTATATTGTTATTACCATTTATAATATATTATTTCAGAATTTCACTATAATCGCTCGAAGCAAATAAATATTTAAATTTGTAAAAATAGATGTAAATTCAATCTGATTTAAAGATCGATAATTTGATAGGTAATAAAATATTATTTTACGTTTCCGGTTTAAATAGAAATGGTTAAATGCCCCTAAAAATATGAAAATATATTTCAGGCGAACGTAATAGAGCACTGCATATATAGACAGATTTTATTGATATTTATGTGACCTCAAAAAGTTTTCTGAAAGTTACGATTAAACCTTTAAATGAAAATTTATAATTTTTATATTACCATAACTGACATGTTTTTGAAACGTTATTAAACTTTATTTTAACATACCACCAATTCAGGTTAGTTCAATTCGAGTCCAATATATTATACAAAATCAGACAGAGAAACCTTCTCAGGGCTTATATCGGGAAAAATTAATATGAGCCGCGCGTCAATTTCAAAAATTCATATTTCGAGGATTATTTATACAAAAAATATCAGTAAATTAACTAAAAAAAATATGTAAACAAAAATTAAAAAGTCCTATTTAAAAATTTTATCATGATAATCACAGATTTTTTCAAGGTCATCATAAAGACAAATAAATATCAGAACTATCTGCCATCTTTATACCCTACAACTTTTGTCTGGATTATCTTCTATATTTTTTGAAACATTTAATTATTTTTATTTAAATACAGGTTAATGGTACGATATTCAAAACAGGATGTAACAAAAAATTACGATGAAGTTTAATATTATAATAAATTATTACTTATCTGCAAAACATAATTTCCGCAAACATAATTGTATACAATGTAATGGACAAAAAAATAAAATGAAACTTGCTAACTTTGAAGATAATACAAATCACTTTAAAAACTTGTTTTCCAAATTTCTTATAGATATACAGTAATTAATTCAAAATTTAATTATTAATTAAACAAAATAGTTTAATCTAACTTACCTAAATAAACGGTAAAATTAATTGAAAATTAAGACATTTTCAAGTGCTAAAAAAACGTCGATTATCCAAACAAGAAATTCAGTTATAATATAGAATAATTTCACCATATCTGTGTAATACATTTAAACTTGAGTTTTCGAGACTTGAATTTTACAAGAATTTTCTTTTCCATAAACTATATTTTCTACTACATTTTCTAAATAAATAATGTTTTTATAAAAATTATAAAATTAATGTCCAAAAAATTACAGTAGAAACCAAAATGGATATGTACATACAAAAATATTCTTTTGATAAAATAGTGATCACTTTCTGACATGAATATTACTAAAATTGAATTATTAATATATAACTGAAATTACTCATGATAGAACAAAATCAAAAAATTTTTCAATAAAAAAAGTGATTAATAGACAAATCTTATCCAGTAAATGTATACAAATGTTTGCAAAAGCATCAACTACTGAAAATATTCATACTTCATTTTATTCACTACACAAGTTCATATTTTTATATAAATATTTGTTACTTGTATTACGTAAATATGTATGTAATAAAATGCATCGACTGAATCTCTTTAATTATGTTTGCTATGTAAAATAATTGCTATATATTATAACTAAAACCGTAAGTGATATTCATATTGGAACATTACGAAACGACTCATTCTTGGCCCGGAAAATTGTTTATCTCTCAAACTTAATATACTTTAAAAAACACCCTGTTCGCTATTTCATATCTAAAACGTTATTTCTTTTAATTAATTTTAATTATTGAAAATACCTTATTTCCGACATTAGTTCGGATAATCGTCGTTTTGTTTCACATCTCTAATTCCCTTTACACCAATAAAACTTTATACGATTGAAGTCCCTTTTCAATGAATTTTTTACATTTTATAAAAATTATAATCTTTTACATCAAATCAAATCATTCAATCATATAGAATAGAGTAACATGTACTTAAACCTTATGTTTATGTATATCCACTATATCTTTATGTTTCACTTTATTCCTTTGTTATATCAATTTTTATGTAAGTTTGTAATGTAAAAAAGGAGCAAGCAGAGAACTTAAGCTAATAATAATTTATTTATTTCCTAATATAAATAAATTTTGACAAAATTTCAAGGATTTCTTCTTAAGTAAACAAAAATTGAAAAATTAGAAATGCTGCTTAAAATGGTATTTTAAATTAAAAATATCTCTAAAATATAATGTTTCTGGGTAAACAAAGAAGGAAGATAATTCTTGCAAAAATATTACATAAAAATTAATATAACAATATTGAATGTGTTTTGCTCAGATAATGTATAAAGTAAAAGTTTGGGGTAAAATGCTGAATCAATTTTTGTATTAAAATGTCTTATATTCGCGTATTTGTATTTATAAGTAGTTTCAAATATAAAAACTCATTCCTATCTCAAACTGTCAACTTTATTTCGTTCATTTACTGTATGATTGCGTCACACGAGTACGTCGATTGATTCAAAAAAATTCTTACACCCAGTTGTATACCTCCGTCTAATTCAAACTCACTCATCTCGGACACAGGTGTCCTTTGTGCGACCATATGCCAACTCGACGCAGGACTATAAATATGTCACGTTAACGTGTATTTTCATTAACGTTGAATATTTTACTTCAGGACATTGGCTGGTAATTATAATGACAGAATACGTCTTAGATGAGCGTGCCTTGTCGTTTTCTAGGAGGAATCAAATAATTGCTTACTTTGCTAACCTTTAAATATTCAGTAGAAAAATAGGAATCTTACTCTAAGAGATTTTCAATATAATTTCATGTTAATCGAAAGATCGTTCCTTAATTCGAAACTGTTTTATCCAAGATCTAATAAACAGGTTTTATTTAAAAACATGTTCCTTGGATAGTTTTAAGTAATTAAATCAGATGTAATTGTTATCTATTTTGAGCGATGTAATTATTTGATTTTTCCTAGACTCCAGAGGAAACGCTGATCAAACCTTTCGATAGAACCTTTATTTGCACCGAAATCTAAAATCGATCGCAATGTGTTCCTGGTTGGCACATCGCGGGAGATATAACAGAGTTACGATTACTCCTAATTCTAATTTCACCTTTGGCGCGTAACAATAATGTATAAAGGTGCTGTTAGAATTAAAAGTACGTGTTGAAATTACGCATGAAAAACGTTTGCGATATATTTTCTCTTCGCGAAAGTGGAAAGTTTATGATGTAAAATCTGGAAGAATAAGAACGAGGTGACTTTCGTGAGTTGATTTTCATTTTGAGTGTGACAAGTATTAATCGTTGTTCAAATAAAGCATTAGTCAAATTATAATCCAAATAATTATACACTTTAATAAATAAGACAGAAATATCAACAAAAATGATGAACTTTTTTCTATGTGCATCCGTAGTATTGCGGTGGGTTTAAAGTCGTATTGTAGTCTATGCACGTACTTAATGTATAAGATTTTATTATATCATGCAACATCACTAAATTATAATATGATAAATCTTTAAAAAATTATTTAAAAAAGAAAGAAAATATACATACATTAAAACAGTATACGTTTTATATTTTTGTAGCTCCTATATCTGCATACATAGTTGAAAACTTAATTATTTAAAATATTAAGTGCAATATAATCAACGGTATTAAGACTAATATGTAAAACATTAATATCATCATAAAATGGAAATACATGAAAGCCATAAGAAATCATATAATGAAAAATACCCCTACAAAAGCATCTTATACTTTCAGAAAATATAAATTTGTGATGTTACATCGCATAAAAAACACATTTAATAAAGCTGTTGCAAAAAATATGAATTATGTTTACATTTTATACATCTTTATACATATTACTATGTTTTGCGATATGTTTTCAATTGACATTTAAAGTAAATTGAATTATTGAAAATAAAATCATCTTCACTTCTTTTATATTTCTAAAACAAGCGATAAACTGTAACCGCAAATTATGACTGTAATTCATTAAAATATTCTAGTCATAAATTACCATTCTTTATAACTGTAACATTTCACTATTTTACAAAATGAAATCTGGTGATGACAAAACTCAAATACCATATACCTGAATATATAATAACTACTGCACTGTCACTCTCAAAAATACTTTAAAACACCTCGTTCCGGAAGTAATGCGATGGAATAGATTTTCGTGACAAAACAAGATGAATAGAACACCTGTCCACTATTTCGTTATACCTTATAATTTATTTTTTTCTTAATGTAATTGTATCACGATGAAGCTGAGCAGGTGTTCTTCATCGTATACCTACTATATAGAGAATGACTAGGCCATATGAATATAACTAAGGAATTCGTACTATATTCCGGCACAGTTTTAGAACGAAGTGCAGTGTGAAACCTATCTAATTTATCTCAGACCATCTCTTCCTTCATTTCGACACAATCGAACAAATATTGTACTTTTATACACACAATTTCTTTCAATGCCGAAAAAGATTAGGTCTACTAAATTCTGTTTCCTATTTTATTTTTCCAAAATTGTCCTGAGGTTTATTCATATGGCTCAATATTTTCAGTCCTGCAAACTTTATTTTCAGTCCTGCAAACTTTATTTTCAATCAATCTGATGTGTATTTTCAGCGATCCTTTTTTAATGTCTATGACTGTAACCAATGTTGTGAAAAACCAACTTTAAATTCTATTCTGGTTCCTCTCCCTCACCATCTACAACACAAACATCATTTAGAAATTTAACAGATATTAAAATAACGTATAATAAATCCAATACAATATAATAACATCTGCAAAAAATATTTATACCTTCACGGTCCACTTCATCATCTACCAGTAAATCATCCTCCTCATTTACCCCATCATCTTCATCATTCACAGCCTCTTCTTCCTCGTCATCTTCATCCACATCATCTTCGACAACAACTATGCTATCATCTCCTTCCTCTCCTTCACCTGCTTCATCACCATCATCTGCACCACCATCTTCTTCTTCTTCCTCTTCTTCTGTATCGCAATCTTCACCATCTCCTTCAATACCATTCTCAACATCCATATCTGGTGCCAAATAATACTGAAAACAATTTCGAATATAAAAATATAGTAAATTTTTTATACAATAAATAAATAAATAAATAAATAAATAAACCAAAAAATATATACATACACACACAGAAATATATATATTTGTAAAAGTAAAACAAAAAATTTAATAATTATATTATAATTGTATTTAATAATTATATAAACCATAATACAAATAATTTTACCTGTAATGGATTAGGCCACATATCATCTTTAATTAGCTCTGCTATTTCATCTGAGCTTGGATCTCCATGATCCGTAAACCAGTCAAAAAATGACCTGTGTTTTAATGGCCTTTTACGACCTTTTAATGGGGCTTTGGTTTTTGCTCTTTTTGTTAAATCTGCACCTTCTTTCCAACGTATAGGTGTACTTTGAGATGCTGGATCTCCTGCAAAAGAGCAGGAGATACATCAAAACTATGATTATTCGATGAAGAGCTCAATCTTCACTTACAAATTCTCTAAAGACCATTCATTTTAAAATCATAAATATAATGGAAAATTAAAATTATCTTTTGATTGTTATCGTTATGATTATATTTCTTATAAACACTAAAAAAAATGTAAATATTTGAAAATATTATTTTAACATGCATTTTATTTTCAAAATTAATTAAATTATTATAACCAATTAAATATTAGTAAAAAGTATGTAATAAAAATCATTCTTAATTGTAACATTCAATAATGCAATTAATATTAATTAAAAACAGCTTCAAGCAGCACTTTACAAAATATTTGGATTTAGAAATGTGCTCACCGGAAGAACCTAAATGAAATTCCTTTGTAAGAACATCATTTTCAAAATATGGATTTTCATCAAAATGAAAATTAATTCTATAACCAGATTTAATATCTTCAAATTCTTCAACTTCTAATTTGTTTAAAAATCGAAGTGCATCCTCTTCGTCTTCTTCCAATATTTCTGCTATTTCTTTATTGTTTACAAACTACATATACACTAAGGAAATTTAAATAACCTATAATAATATTTATTTAGAAATTTATGTTATAATCAATGATAAATTGTAATATTTATTAAGCTAGAGCTTCAATAATATTAAAATTATTTATAAAATAAAGATTTTAATAATTTCTTTATCTTGACATCTGTAATATTACAATTTATCATACTTAGTCCTTGGTACTCAGCACTATTAAGAAATATATTATCAATATAATATGTTAATCATTTAAATTTCTTAATAAGATAACTACTAAATTTTATGTTTTAGTATTTTAAAATAACATGAGATATAAATTATATGTAAACATATTTGAACTGAAAAAAATAAAAAACATACAAAAAAATTTTAAACAATTGTTGCAGATTGAATTATTTAAAATTATTTACATGAAACAAAACATTATAAAAAAAAATATTTATGTTCTTTGAATACATATATAATATATACATATTATGTATATAATATATACATATATATATACATAATAAATATATACATCATAAAATTAAATTAAATATATGAGTTCAATGTAATAAATTCTATTACTAGAACAATGATCCTGTCAAACATTTTTTTGCAAAAATAAATGTATATTGCATTCCGCGTGACCGCATGTAGTTATACATACTTATATACGTATACAAGTAGGCAAGATGGCGACTAGCGCCGGTGGACGCCGGCATTGCCGAGAAACGTCAAAGATATATCAGTAACTATTATTAGCGAAAACATAATGTCATCGTATGAAAGGATACAGCAGTAACCCAAAAATTGGGTATCCTCTTAATAATGTCATTCCGTTTTTGGAAATAGGGCTTACGCAACTTATTATACTTCTTCTCGACTTCGAGGATTTCATCGCTGGCCTTCTCATTGAGGCCATCGATTTGATTCTGACACCCGTCAATCTCTTCGAGTGTCTTTTGTATTTCAATATCATAATCGCGTGATTCAACACCCTCGCCCGAACCTGGATCTTCTAATTCCTTGGCCTTCTTGTTCGGCGAAGCCATCGTTCGACCCGCGCTCTTGTCACCACACCACACACTCTCTGTTTATTTTCAGTACGCACTCACTCCGCGTTCGTCACGCTCGTGTCACGAATTCGCGGCGCGTAAGCAAGCTAAACTACACCACGAGTTTAATAATTCAACTAGATGCACAACTACACTGTTCAAAAAATATACTAGATTTTCCTATCTTATTTAAAATATAAAATTGAAACTTTTTACATTAATTAAATATTTCTATCATTACGTTGTATTTTATTTGCATTCTTTTAAGAATTTTCATAAAATTCTGTCATAAAATATAAATTGTATTAATCTTTAAAAAAGTATATGAAATATGAGAGCTACTTTATTTATGAACTATATCAAAAAATATAATTCATATTTAACACAAAATATAATGTTACAAGATAAAACAATATTTATATTTATTTACGAATTTCAAAATTTGGAATAATAATTTGGCGATGTAATTAAAAGTGATTATTTAAAAGTCTAGTGAAATTTTAATAAATATATACAAAACATTAAATAAATAATGAATACAATATAATTTAATTATAGATGATATACATTTAATGTTTATAACATAAAATATATAACGTAAAAGTATTGCTTGCTATATAATGATATATAGTGTTTCAATTCTTAAATAAAATATACAGATATAATTTTATATATAGTTTAAAATAAATAATATATAAATAAATTTCATTTTCATTTTATATCTATTAATAAGAATAGGTGTTTTGACATAATTATGTGTGTATTATGTGAGTATGTGCTTTTTTATTTGTATTCCTATATTTGGTAGTACTTTAATATCTATTATTATTATTATATTTTTAATATGATATATCCCAAAATTAACATATACATATAGATATACATATATACACGTATTTATGTACATGATTTTATTTTTTAGCACAAAATAATGCAAAACTTTAGAATGGAAGAGTATCTGCAAATAAGAAATACAGTAATTATATAGTGATGTATTTTTGTAAATATAAAGTATATTGTAATGTTAAATAATTTTTACATATTTCTACTTCATTATGTTATATGTAATTTAAGAACTATATATGATTGAAGGATTTATTTCTTTTCTTGTATTTTTCATATTTTAAAATTGTTAAGAAAAGAAATAAAAAATTAGCATTTAATAAATAATATTATATATATACATCATAAAATTAAATTAAATATATGAGTTCAATGTAATAAATTCTATTACTAGAACAATGATCCTGTCAAACATTTTTTTGCAAAAATAAATGTATATTGCATTCCGCGTGACCGCATGTAGTTATACATACTTATATACGTATACAAGTAGGCAAGATGGCGACTAGCGCCGGTGGACGCCGGCATTGCCGAGAAACGTCAAAGATATATCAGTAACTATTATTAGCGAAAACATAATGTCATCGTATGAAAGGATACAGCAGTAACCCAAAAATTGGGTATCCTCTTAATAATGTCATTCCGTTTTTGGAAATAGGGCTTACGCAACTTATTATACTTCTTCTCGACTTCGAGGATTTCATCGCTGGCCTTCTCATTGAGGCCATCGATTTGATTCTGACACCCGTCAATCTCTTCGAGTGTCTTTTGTATTTCAATATCATAATCGCGTGATTCAACACCCTCGCCCGAACCTGGATCTTCTAATTCCTTGGCCTTCTTGTTCGGCGAAGCCATCGTTCGACCCGCGCTCTTGTCACCACACCACACACTCTCTGTTTATTTTCAGTACGCACTCACTCCGCGTTCGTCACGCTCGTGTCACGAATTCGCGGCGCGTAAGCAAGCTAAACTACACCACGAGTTTAATAATTCAACTAGATGCACAACTACACTGTTCAAAAAATATACTAGATTTTCCTATCTTATTTAAAATATAAAATTGAAACTTTTTACATTAATTAAATATTTCTATCATTACGTTGTATTTTATTTGCATTCTTTTAAGAATTTTCATAAAATTCTGTCATAAAATATAAATTGTATTAATCTTTAAAAAAGTATATGAAATATGAGAGCTACTTTATTTATGAACTATATCAAAAAATATAATTCATATTTAACACAAAATATAATGTTACAAGATAAAACAATATTTATATTTATTTACGAATTTCAAAATTTGGAATAATAATTTGGCGATGTAATTAAAAGTGATTATTTAAAAGTCTAGTGAAATTTTAATAAATATATACAAAACATTAAATAAATAATGAATACAATATAATTTAATTATAGATGATATACATTTAATGTTTATAACATAAAATATATAACGTAAAAGTATTGCTTGCTATATAATGATATATAGTGTTTCAATTCTTAAATAAAATATACAGATATAATTTTATATATAGTTTAAAATAAATAATATATAAATAAATTTCATTTTCATTTTTTATTTTCGATCAAAAGGATTATTAGTGACAAAAAAGAAAGTAGGTAAAACTTATTGGCTATAAAATTATACTTTTAAAAACACAAAATAAAATTTAAAGTTTGAAAAAATTTATTAAGTAAATTGAATGAACCAATCGTAACTTTGAATTTATATTTTATATACTTAAAATAAATAAAAGATACAATATGCAATATTAAACAAAGAATATATTAATTAGAGT